GATCTAGGCTGAGACAAAGAGTCGTTTTTTTTGTAGATCTCAGACATCTTGTTGGCTTTTTTCTTTTAATAAGTCAGACAGATAAGAGGGTGGCAGATGATTTAGGGATTTAAAAACATACCAATATCTTAAAATCAATTTTATAACACACTGGGAGCCAGTTTAAAGTATTTAAGATCGGAGTAATATGCTCTCTCTTACGAGCCCCAGTTAAAAACCTGGCTGCATCATTTTGAACCATCTGGAGTCATGATATAGAAGACTGGGGTAGACCAACATATAAAGAATTACAATAGTCCAGACGCGACAAGACAAAGGCATGTGTAACTCTCTCAAGATCTTTAAACAATAACCAAGACTTGACTCTAGAGAGAAGTTTTAAATGAAAAAAACTTGACTTCACTACTGTGTTAACATGTTGATCAAATTTTAGGGAGGAATCTAAAAGGACTCCCAAATTTTTCAGTTGGTTTGATGAAGGAGTTTACATTGGCCTTATTCACCTGAGGTCCAAACACAATAACTTCTGTTTTACTAGAGTTTAAGCATAGATAATTTAAAGACATCCAAGATCTAATGTCCTCTAGACATGCAACCAGATTTCCTAACCCTTTCATGTCTTTTTGCTTCAGAGGCAGATATATTTGTGTATCATCCGCATAAAAGTGATATGACACTTCCTAAGGATATTTCCTAGTGGGAGCCTATACAAACAAAACAGGGTTGGGGTAAGAATGGAACCTTGGGGAACACCACAAATCAAAGGAGCAACTGAAGAAACAATATTTCCAATATTGTTTCTTCATTGTTTCCTTATTGTCTTGAGCACCACTTGACCATGACTTTAACCATGCGCTACCATTTCGGTCAATTTTACACCTTTGCAACCAATTCATCCCACTAAAGTTGGTATAAATGCCAGCAGCACCTCTACTGAGCTCTCTACACTGGCCTAGGAGTCTTGAGCCCAGCCACAGGATGAAGGCTCTTGAGCTTCATATCAGCCGTGTAGAGCACTCAGCCAGTGTTACTTGCAGCTCGAATTTAAGGCTAAATGGTCTCCTGGTACAATCTGATCCCTTTGAGCTGGCCTCTTCTATGGACTCATCAATGATTGAGATGGTATGAATTAAACATAAACTGAGGGACAGAGAAAACACTCAGCCACACACACACATACTGTACACACAATGGCCTCTGATGCAGGAACATTTAAGAAACTCAGTTGATCTTTCTTTAGAAGTAAATATGAAATTAGTGATGCACCACAATTATTATCCTACAGAATAGTTTCAAAAGAATCAAAATTTAAATCTAAGCATAAAAACAAATCTTTTTGAGCAAGTTTATAACAGTTCCTACTCCTAGAGTGAAATTAGAACCTCTTATAATTGTTTGGTTGACTCCTCTTTTGATTAGATTGCGGTCTATACAGATTATGTGTTATATACAATATATTTACAATGTTTGTGATGTTTATTTTACTATGGCTGTTCAGCTCAGTGGCCAACTACTGTTGTTTTTACTATGTTTTATAAAGAAAATTTTTTTATTTGAATATTTAAATTCTAGCTGATATCATGTTCTGTCCAATAAAATCTGGAACTATTTTATCTAAATAAACAAAAAATAAAACTACCAACTAAAATTACTCATTTTAAATGCTACATGGGAATTTAAATCAGTGTTATTCTAGTATAGGGCTGTGCAATATATCGAAATTATCGAAATATCGCAATATGCATATCGCTACAGCTTGCAATATTTGGGGCCATGAACAAAAGACAAAGAGAAAATCACTCACTGCTCTTACCTAAATAACTTTTGTAGCTTAAATAAGAATCAGTGCTTATTGAATTCAAAGAGTAAATACTAACCAGTGTTTTATTTTTCCTTTTTATTATTCAGTTCCTAAACTCATGTTAAAATGATTACACTAATGTTAAAATTAAATTTTTATGTAATGCTCGAGTAAAACACATACCGTTCACTTTCAGAAGTTGTTGTATTAGAATTAGATTCTTTCTTATTAGAATCAAAATCAGAATGAGCTTTATTCACCACTTAAGTGTGCGCAAACACAAGGAATTTGTTGCGGTTTTACAGAAACTCTTGGTACATACATACATACAAATAACCATATATATATGACACAAGATAGTTATAGAAGTTCACAGAACTGACTCAGCATACCGCATTTTTCTTCAATATCGCACAGCCCTATTCTAGTATAATTTCTATACTATTATAGTTTTTGTTAATATTTTGAATTAGATATTTTCTGTTTTCTGTTTAATTTTAGTTAAGTTGTTTTTGTTGTTTTATTAGCTTTTGTTTTTTTTTATTAATTAAAATTAATTCATTTTATTTATTAGTTTTCATATTAACTGTAGTTACTGTAACTATATTAAGCCTGATTTAAGAACACAACATTTTAATGTACAATAGTAAATGTGGATATTAATTTTAAGATCCGCTAAAGATCACAAAGATATTTTAAGTGTTAGAAAGCAAATGTAAAACCAAAGGAAACAAGAATGTACAAGTAAAAATCTGATATAAAATATTCAATACAAGTCAATTAAAATATAAAAATGCATAAAATCATTGCAGATAATGACCAATCATGTTGGCTGAGTAAATCTTATGAAATGTTATGTGTTATTTCATATTTTTCTTTTAAATCAGCCTACTTTTTCCTCTTCTCAGCTTAATATAATATTTACTTAAAAAGTAAACCCAACATACTTTAGCAACACTGAACATTTCAAATAGCATACAAGCTTTCAGGTGTCCAGTCCTCTTGCTGAGTCACGAGCCAGACAGCACAGCACAGATTTAAGAGAGTAATTGAATCAATTAGACTTGGACTCGGTTCAAAGCTGCAGGCTTTGGCAGCTTTAACAAACTCACACTACGTTAAAATAATCAGTAAGAGACATTTGATGCTAACCCGTTCACTAATGCCAATTTACACTGATTAGGAAGTGCGAGGAGAGCTACATTTTCATATTAGGTAATCCACTCTACTTCTTTTGCAAGCCCAAAATAAACAGATGTAGAGAGTGCCCATAGCAACATAAAGCTCTCTGATTAAAATCATCTCCAAAAGAGCATTAAAATGGCATAAAGAAGTCGAATGGTGATCCTTCAGGCAGGCTAACACGCTAAATGAGGTGGACAGTGGGCGAAGGGGGGAGGCTGGGAAGTCAGACGACATCTGTGCTGCAGGAAAAGAGGATTACATACACAAAGTTCAAAGCTCTAACTGTTTAAAGCGTTTACACAATTTCCAGCCGAATGGATACCTATGGCATCTGCATCAACTTTTGCTGACATATAATGATGTCAAGACACTGTGATGTCACAAAACAAGCCTATGCCCACGTATACATACTGAAAGGTCACTCTTAAAAGAACAATAAAAAAAAAACACTCGTTCACTCTAAACTTCTTATATAATCCGGAGTCACATTCCTGAAATTTTAATTCTTACGTTAAGATCTGACAAGTGCATGGTTTGAGATCGGAACCGAAATTCTGGTGACTAAACAGATAAGATAGGATTCTGAGTTAGGATGAGTCTGTAATATGATCCACAGACAGGTCAGGTTACATAATAATGCGATGTTATTCTAGATTCCTACCTTATCTGTTTAGTAACCATGGAGATTCATCTTGAAACATGATAGAATTCTGTCTGCATTTTACGGCCTCTGATCCTCACCTGTCCTGAACCCTCAGGTCTCAGCTGCCTTTTATAGATCCTCATTATTTCTCTTCAACAAACACAAGATTAACGGTCCTATTCACCTGTAAACACTTGTAACTTGGCTTTAGCAGCTTAAATAAACCTTGGGAGTCTTGATGGAAAGTAAAAGTATCTACCAGCAAGACGATTAATGAAATTTTTGTGGCTGCCCACAAACAGAAAGCATCTAGTGGTACCAAAACTTCCTCATGATGGATAGTCTCAATTTCCTCCTGTTGTGGGAGCTGTGATAAATGGCTTCAGTTAAAATCCACTTTTTCCTTGAGAGTCCCATTTAATCAAAATGCCAACTGCATAATTATAAGCAAATGCTAGTAATAGAATACAAGGTTGATATTGGCTAAAACCCTGAGAGCTGCCTAACTACCGTATTAATTTTTTACCTGAAATGTTCTTAACATTCTGAAATGTTCTTATCTTGTTCCACTGTCTATTTGTAAACTATGAGTTAGCGTCCTTATTTGCATATTTATCAGGTCAATAACATGACAGGACAACAATAATAATGCATGGGAATTTTGCCATCCAGATATTCTCTGGTTGCGTTTTGACTTCTAGTCAGGTCTTATTTATTTATATAGCACTTAACAGAATAGAATGCTTCAACACACTTAACAAACAGGAAAATAACTGTGTTATTAAACATTCCTCAAAAACCATCACTGCAGTTATCACGACAGCGCGTGAAAGTTTCTCAGACTGCACAAAGTCTATGAATATTTAAAGAGGTGGGCACTGAGACAGTTCTTGATTGGTTGTCTGTTGCTAAACAACATCTTGTAACATTCAAGCACTAAAAGCGACGCTAACTCTCTTTCAAAATTACAAATATTAAATGTAGCTTAACACAGGCTTAAAACTAGCATTTACTCGGATTTTACAAGGAAAGCTTGGGTTCAGTGTAGTGTTAAAAACGGTTGTCTCGGTTGGTAGACACTAGCAAATATGTTAACAAACTAACCTGGCTTTACGGTCTTCAGACGGAGGGGTTCGCGAAAGTGACGGATGACGGCGAGGGTGTCTCGGTTTGTCAGTCCGCTGACAGGCGTGCCGTTCACCTCCAGAAGCACATCTCCGGGACCAGGTAGCCTGCCGACATGGCACACTAACGCGTCCGACAACTCCTGTCCCAGATGCGGGAACATTCCTGCACTTTACTAGACCAATGTTTCTTCTTTTTCAGCGTCTTGGACATGATGAATCCCTTTCGTAAAAGAGTCTTTAAAAAAAAAATGATAACAACAGGTTATTTCCTAATGCAAACGCGTTTAGAGAGCAGTAAAGCAAAGCGACTTAATTCCCACGTCTTGGTGAAAAAGAAACGTTTTAAAACTTCGGAGTCGGCATTGCTCGGTCCTTGAAATATATTCCCTGGATGGTTCAGTCAAAAATCACGTAAATTCACGGAATTGAATCACGAGCTCACACGAAGGTAAAAGGGCTGTTCATTGCCTTAAAATCTATGGTAGATCTCAAATATCGTCTTCAAACGATCCAAACAAGCGCTTTCTAGGAGAAAAAGACACGGAAATAGCAAGAAACTATCAGCCGAGGCTGGACAGCCTACTTTATCCAGGCACATAAAAATAATACAGCCTCAAATCGCTTCGTAATGCCGGCTAATGAATGAAACGCCATAGCTAAACACTCACATCCGTGTGTAATCTCTCGCGATGCAGGGCGACTGTTGTCAACTTGGGTTTCGCGCACCTGTTCCAATGACATCAGCTACCGGCGCGTTCACGTGAAACGACGAACAACAATATACCTGGATCGGGGAATACACGATACAAACTAGGTCCACTGTCCAACGACCTTTGATTCTTGTAGAAACGCCCTTGTGTGTGTGTGGAGCTGTCAGCGCCCGACGGTGATTAATTGTAGGCGCAGCTTTACAACTTTGTAGTCACTAGTCATTTTCACCTGACTACTTGCGCCAAACGACAGCAGCGACTGTCACGCCTGTTTCACACATACTCCGTCTGCAGTGCGTATGCGGTGCAGAAGCAGCACGGACTCATTGTGCTTTCACACAGGACGCGTTTGCAGTTCGCTCCTGATCCGCGGCTGTATACCACAAACACAACATTTATCCATTATTTTGATTTCAAATCCAAACGTAGTTAGCCTATACTGAAAGTGTTTTTTTCAGCATTGTGATCCTCTTTTATCACAGTACAGTTAACACAATCTTTCATAGATATATTCACGTTTAAACTCAATCAATATAAACAGCGTATTAAATGCATTTGGCTTTTAGATGTGTATATTAAGTTGCTCAAGCAAGTGGAAACACATTTGAATACAGCATATAGCTTTCTTGTGTTAGGTTATCACAAATATTTTAAATTAAAACTTACCACTGACAGAAACAGTCGGCTCTCGTGCCTTTTACATTTAAATCTTTATTACAAACAGTCCAGCGGGTCTTAAAGAACTTTGTTTTTCTACCTCCACAAGACACAAGTGCATATGTTGCCTTTTATATCTAAAAGTGCACTTTTATTTGTTTTAAACCTAGCCAAAAAGCCCGTGAAACACAGTAGACTTTAATTATATCTATTTATTGTGAAATTACGACATTTCAGTCTCAATCCATGTTCATTTTTACCACGAAGAAAAGCGCTGTCACTTTAATTCAGCGCGTGCAGCACAGCAAAAATAGACTCGGTGCGTAAACGATCGCTGCACTGCTGCAGACGCGCCGCACCTGGAACGCACTGACGGACCGCAACCGTGTGCAGTGTGAAAGCTCTAATCCGTTAACATGGGTGCGTAAAAAAAACCGCAACGCGCACGCACTGCAGACGGAGTATGTGTGAAACAGGCGTCAGAGGCGCACACCGACACCAATGCAGAGGGGACGAGAGCAGAGCAGCCAATCAGAGCAAGGGGGCGGGCTTTCCCATACTGTTCACAATACTAAACGGCCTCTCTGCCATGCTGCCAGGCCTGAAGGGAATATGTTAGAAAAGTTAAGGAAAAATGCACTTGCTGCCTTAAAAGTAAATGTGCCCCTACAGAGTCTTTGAGGGAAAAAATATTATATATATATTTGATAGTAAGTGTAAACCAGGGGTTTTAAAATACAGTCATCAAACCCTCATCCAGACTCTTAACCAATCCACAGACCCTCAATGATTTTCTTGGTGAAACTTCATAACAACATTCATAGTAAAAATAATATTTTTTGTGGTGTAGCACTTTCAAAAAGTGCAGCTTAAAGTGTTTTACAATAAACAATACTGGTCCCAAGTGCTTCACGTGAAAGCAAATAAAAATTACCATAATTAATCAAACATAAGGTAAAAAGGTGAATCCACTGTGAGTTAAAAGTTAGAAATGTAATTAAATAGACCTTGAATTATGTTTATATAGGCCTATCAGACTAAATAAATGTTTCTATTTAAACCCTCTCAACTTCACTGAACCCTGGATGTAAAGAAAATAAATGAACAACTTCATAATATATTGTTCTGCTATTATGGGTTCGTGTGTTGAACAGCTGTGCATATACTTTGTAATTTCACACCACCTGTTACACATTTTTGCACATCAACATGATTCTTGTATAATGTTGTTTTACAATATCAACATGCTATTTCTTTCTTGCATTAAGAGTAGTTTTAGAAAGACAATACAATTAAATAATATTATATGGCATTCTTCGTATCAGGCAATAAAATCAGGTTAAAGCTAAGCTTCTAGACGTAATGTTGTATAATAGTGCCACCTGCTGCTGTAGTATAGAATTGCACTATGTACAAAGAGTAGGGTAACTTGCGAAGATGCCCCCAGTGTAAACAATGTACATTTACTTTTAGGTAATAACATATTTAGATGTAAGTTTGGCATGTGCAGGATGATGATGCACCAGCCAATGTGTTAATAAGGGAATGGAAATTGAATAATTTTACATTTTGCGTTATGACAACTACATTAGCAAATGTATCTAAGAGGCCATCTTACCTCAGTGCTGGCAAGAAGTGTTCGACAATTTAGTTTGTCAGAACTAACTGACATGGCAGAATCCAAGGAAAAGAGATAAATCTGAAAGATAAATTTACTGTATGATATAATATAGGTATATGAATCTATAAATATTTCATTCGCCATATTTTAATAGATGTCATAATAGCAACACTATAAATTCAAATTGAATGATTTCCTATATAGATTAAATGTACATCTAACTCATGGAATTATTGAGTAATAACTCCATAAATGACAATAAATATTACATTAAAAAAAAAACAATACTAGTAACAACATCCCGCTCTGTGCCAATTCTAGAGGGGCCATCTGACCCCAAGAGTCTAATTTTACTTTTTCACTTAAAAATATCGCTTTTTAAGTGAATATATTTATAAAATATTAAAATAAAATAATAATTAAAATATATTTAATTCAAAAATAAGTATCGCTTTTTATTTCTCCTCTTTCCTATACTTGTTTCGCTTCTGTTTCAGTTTTTATAACCAATATGTGTTTTTTTTGTGTGTGTGTTTGGCTTAGTGTTATGTTAGAATCATTATTATACTCTTATACCTTTTGTTCTTTAATATTTTGAATTGTTTTTAGCTTTATTTTTTGTTTTTCAATTAAATGTTGTTTTGAAATTTTGTTGTATGCATTTGTAATTTTTATTTAATTTCTTTATTTTTAAAATGTGTATAGGTAGTATTTATAAAGTTTTAGCTTTTAGTTTTGGATCTGTTTTAGTTGTTTTAATACTACAATTGATTGCTTCTGTTGTCCTCATTTGTAAGTCGCTTTGGATAAAAGAGTGTAATAAATGACTAAATAAATAAATAAATATAAGCAGCATTTTTTTCCTCTACAGATATAAAAACATTAATGTGTCACAAATCTTAAATCTTACTTTTTTTTTAATAGACACACAAACCTTAAATATTCAACGTTGAATTTGACTTCAATTCAGAAAAACAAAGTACTCATGGCAACAGTTAAAATGGTTCAATACTTAAGTTAATCATTAAGTCAGGTGTGCAGTCAGTCACCCTCACGGTCATTGCTCTGAAAGTCAAAATCAACCTTCATGTTCAAACAAGGTGCCTCTAACAAAAGCAGCCAAAAAGATACTTTTCCACCTTTATTCCAGTAAGGTAAGGATGATATGCACTCACAATATACACACACAATATCTGTATACAGCAAAGAAACAACATGCTTGGAGCAAGAGACAGTTTCTGACATCGATCAAATAAATGTATTTTCTCTTAAGATATTTAAATATTATGGTCCTTAAAGTCTTTAATTTCAGCTCTAATAACATATGTGCTGTATTTTTGAAAGATCATTCTATTGAAATGATTGTGCTAATGTCATTTGTCAAGCCAGTTTTGGAAATGTTAAAGGGACACCCTTATGGCTGTACAGGCCCAGTGCAACAGCTCCTCTGGCTCTGACCCAGTCTGTTGTACGTAAGAAAGTCTATTTTTCTTTCAGTACTTGCAATCAAGTCTAACGTACTGCTTTCACTTCTGCTGGTATACGCGGGTAAAAGAATATATTCGATTTTGTGTTGACAGATGAAGAAGGATCAGGTCCATTGGCAGTCATCATTATCCCAAGCTTGCTGGTTCTCAGCACCCTGATCGTTGTGTCTCAGATCATATGGAGCTTTATTACTAAAAGATCATCAGCTCAGATTATCACAGGTTCATCTTTAAATGTAAATGGTATGTGAAAGAAAACGTCTCAGGTTACTTATGTAACCATGGTTTCAGACACGGGTCACGACGAGGCATTCCCCCATAGCGACCCCTAGAGGACGCAGTTCGAAGTTCCCATGAAAGGGAACTGATCTATCATGTTGTCAACAACAATTTGAATCCAAATATTAGATGCAGAAAGTTACAGATTTTAGTTTTGGTGCTTGGTTTTTTGAGGGCAAATCATGAGAAATAGTATTTTGAATCATACTGTCTTTTAGAAGGGGACCCTGTACCTTTGGACACAGGCTTTGGGACCCTGCGGCCTGCACAGGATGCTCTGGGTCTATGGGAGATACCAGCTCAGTGCAGCCTGGAGGGAGTGGAGCTGCTTCAGATGGGACGTTATGGGCCAATCTTCATGGGTCAGCTAAAACAAGACAACACATCCACTGCTGTAGTGATTAAAACTCTTAAAGGTACAGAACACAAATCAATCATGAAAAGGTGTCTTCTAAGATTTTACCACAATTTGTAGTCATATTAAAATTAAAATAAAAAATGATATATCTTCTTTTTTCAGACAGGTCAAATCAACTGGAGGCTACAGAATTTGTGGATTTTATCCATTTCCATGTAGCAGTGAGCAAACACAAAAATATAGTGGAGATGTTATATTGCCAGACACGCCGGACGCCCATGTACCTGGTTTTGGAAGCAAGCATTCCAGGGAACCTCCTGCATTTTCTCTGGAGTCTCCGAGAGGTAAAAACACCTGAATACACTCTCAGAAAAAAAGGCACAAAACTGTCACTGGGGTGCTACCTTTTCAAAAGGTGCTAGTATGTGTGGAATCCTGTTTCCACCACGAAATAAACAAATAAAAAGGTAATTATGACTTTTCTCAGAAGTGCATTTCATATCTTGCAATTATGACTTTTTTCTCAGAATAGCGATAAAAAAGTCAGAATTGTGAGGGAAAAAATGAATTGTAAGATAAAAAGTCACAATTAGCTTTTTTGTTGGTTTGTTTTTTTATCCCTTGGCAGAAACAAGTTTCCTTAAATATATACTTTAAAAGTAGTAATACGTACTAATATGTAGGTTTTATTAAATTCCTAAATAATTATTAAATACATTTAGGGCTATTAAGGTACAAAGCTTTTGTACCTTATGGATCCGCCCCAGTGTCAGCTTTGTTCCTTTTTTCAGAGAGTGTTTGTTGACAGAAAATACATGGGTTACATCTCATAAATCATCTCATAGATTTTCTTCTGAATGTAACTCTTACTGAACAGGACAGATGTGGTGCAAGTGATAACTTCCAGACGTTTTCAGAGAGGTCTGTTTATCTAGTAGCTAAACAGGTAGCAGCAGGTCTGGTGAGTCATTTACTCAGTGTACTCATACTAGGTAAAACAAAAATCAACTGTAAGATGTATAAATTCTTTAAATGATTTTTTTTTTAGGACTATTTATACTCCTACCACAGAATTATTCATGGGGATGTCGCAGCCCGGAATGTGTTGATCGGTTCAGGGCTCTCTGTCAAAGTCTCTGGATTGGATTTGGCTTTTAAGAGTCGACAATCAAAAACGGTGGACAACGAACAAGAAGCCAACGTGCCGGTAAAATGGCAGGCGCCTGAACGGATGATGAGGCTTCCCCTAACAGACAGGAGTGATGTGTGAGTCTATCAGAACATAAAAAAAAATGTTTTATAAAAAATACTGCACTTTGACCAATGTGCTAAAGTTGTGTTGTCGTACTTCTTCAGATGGTCCTTTGGAATCCTGCTTTATGAGACAATAACCTTGGGTAGTATTAGTTAGAGGTCCTAATACACCAGTTGTTACTTGAATTTTTTTTTTTATCAAAAAATACTATGAAGCAAACAAGTTAGCAGTCTTATATTTACCTTCCTTCTCCTTTGAAAGGGTCTCCCCCCTATCCTGACCTGGATCCATCTGAAGTGCTGCCAAACACTTTAGCCAATTACCGGATGAAAAGACCAGAAATCTGTGGAGCCCCATTGTAAGCCTTCGTATTTGTCTGTTTTATTTTACACAACATAGTTGTTTTGCTCCTCTGTGAACAGCACATGTTCAAGAAAATCTAAAAATTCTGTTAAAACGACATAAACGGACGTTATCTGGCATGTCTTGCAGATATGACTTAATAAAGTACTGCTGCATGTGGAACTTCAAGGACCGGCCGGTCTATTCTGCCATTATTCAGCTTCTAGACTCGTACAACTACCTCGCTGACACAAAACCACTTCACTCTGAACAGCAAATGGACATCTGTGAATACAGGAGGAAAGCAGGACTGCCTCCATGAGCTCATTCAGAGAGCTGTCAATTGATTGTTTCTACAATTGATTCAGTTCCATTAAGATTGACATCATTTCCAGCTAGTTTGTAGAGAATAAAGTGTAGCCATGTCATGACGAGCACAATGTCACTAGAGGTTGCCCTGTTTCTCAGAACTGGAGACCCATTGCATAGTGGTCAACTGAAATTAATCTCAAGGCTTCCAGCTAAAAAAAAAATTTGTTACTCATGTAAAATTAAAAATATAAGAAACTTTCTAAATCTTTCTGTTTTTGATTAATGCCATGTTATTTATTTATCTAGAATAAGGTGACCATATGGCCTCTTTTTCCCAGGCATGTGCTGGCAGGGATTTCCCAATTTCATAAAAAGTCTAGGTTTTTGGCTTTGTTTTCCT